GAGGTAAAATGAGAAAGCATAGCTCACAAATACCTTCTGGCCAATGGCATGGAAAGTATTTTTGTAGTTTATTCCAAAGACCTGAAATTAGTTTGAACTTAAGAAAAGTGACATCCATTGGGACCAAGGTGAAGTTGACAAAATGAAAATTATTTTTTATCTTAACAAAAGGCTACTTCTGAATGGAGCCTCCTGACAAAGCAGAAGTCTGGCTGGTACTTGAACCAGATAAACTTGTTATGCAAACAGCTTTAGTCATGGGGGAAAGGGCTGATAATGAAATCGCTACAAAGCCAACCACACATTATTGAGGTGACAAAACACATCAGGCAGGGTCCTAGCATATGGCTAAAAAGCAGTGGAGAATTTATGTGAGCATTGCACTTAATTTATCATAACTACGCTTTCAGGAATCATGCTTTGACAAATGCATAACTAATACATGCAAATGGGTCAATTATCACAAACAACCAGAGGTTCAGAACCAAACAGGCTGATGCTTCTTTTTAAAAAACCCAAAACAGGTTTACTAATAGTATTTCATACTTTCAGATGTTTTAAAAAATCTCTGCTACTATCTCCAAATTAAGGAGACTGGAAGTAAATCTGAAAAACACTAAGCCACAACCCACTGCTCCCACTTTCCTACCCCCCTGATCCTCCTACACACATATGCACATGCCCAAACACACACACCTGTCCTGTCTACACAGCTATAATCACTAGACTGCAGCTGGACCAGCTTGTGCAGATCCCTGCAGCAGCCCATAAGAAGCCTTTTGGCAGGTAGCAACCAGCATGGACTAAGACCTAGAGTATTGAACCAACTCTATTATGGCTCAGCCGTCACATGAGGACTAAGTATTGAAGGTTTTAAAGCTGTTAAGGAACTTTTAGCCCTGTTTATTCTTTTGAGAGAAACATTTACTGTGGCTTGCTCTACAAAGGGAACTGAAGAATGATCTGTATAATTCAGGTTAAAAAAAAAAACTTTTCCTAAAATTACCAGATAATCATCTTCTCCCACCCAGTCCCTCCAATAATGAAAAGCTTATAATCTGAAGGTCTTAATCCTCCATCTTTCTTTCTCTTGCCTCCTAGTTTAAAAACAAACTAAGGCTCTCTCTTTAAAAAGATGTTTCAAATCCAGTGAGTATCACTGTTTATATTGAATTAGAGATTTGAATAAATACAATGAATGGCATTTGATCAAACTACACTTGATTGGCCGAGTAGTCAGCAGTCTCCCCTACAGAATGAAAGGATATTAAGTGGGGCTGGGCGCAGTGGCTCACGCCTATAATCCCAGCACTTTGGGAGGCTGAGGCGGGCAGATCACTTGAGTTCAGGAATTCAAGACCAACCTATCCAACATGGCGAAACCCCATCTCTACTAAAAATACAAAAACTAGCTGGTCCTGGTGGCACACACCTGTAATTCCAGCTACTTGGGAGGCTGAGGCACAAGAATCTCTTGATCCTGAGATGCTGAGTTTGCAGTGACTCAAGATCACGCCACTGCACTCCAGCCTGGACAACACAGTGAGATTCTGTCTCCAAAAAAAAAAATTTGCTGGATGCAGTGGCTCATGCTTGTAATCCCCCAGCACTTTGGGAGGCCAAGGTAGGCGGATCATGAGGTCAGGAGTTTGAGACCAGCCTGGCCAACATGGTGAAACCCCATTTCTACTAAAAATTAAAAATAAAATAAAAAAATTAGCTGGGCATAGTGGTGGGCGCCTGTGATCCCAGCTACTCGGGAGGCTGAGGGAGGAGAATTGCTTGAACCCAGAAGGCGGAGGTTGCAGTGAGCCAAGATCACGCCACCACACTCCAGCCCAGGTGACAGAGTGAGACTGTCTCCAAAAAAAAAAAAAAAGGTATTATTTGGGAATGATGGGTAGGCTTCTTTTAAAAATATATAATAATCAGTTCCCTAATTTTGAGAAATACTCCCAAAAATATTGCAGAAGAATTTATGGTTGAAGAACTTAAGATGTTATAGGAAAACAGGACTGGAGGGCTGAGATCAATAAAGAATCTATTAACACCTATTATATAAATATTTTCACTAAGAAAAAAACAGTAATTAAACAAAAAGAAGACTGATGACATATTTCCATCTTAAACTAGTAATAAAGCACACAATCACGTAATTTCTAATTGCCTTCCTGATTCATTAGAAACTTTCCCGACTCTTCCTCCCCTGCAATTTCAACAGGATGCTTTATGCATCCTGATAGCATGCATACTCAAAGGCATTGTTTTCTGTGTTTAGCCCTCCATTCTAGTATTCAAGACCTTATTAAGTCTAAAGCAACTCAGAATCAGTGCATGTGGAATTCTCAGAATTGGGAAAAACATAGCAGAATTGAACTGGCATGTAAGAGGATTTGCCATAAGGAACTGTCAATGTTAGGGAGGAATTTCCACATAGCTGACCCTTGAACAACATGGATTTGAACTGCATGGATGCACTTATGCTTGGATGTACTTTTACATGGATTTTCTTCCACCTCTGCTAACCCTGAGACAGCAAAACCATCCCCTCCTCTTCTTCCTCCTCCTCAGCCTGTTCAATGTGAAAAAGATGAGGCTGAAAACTTTCATGATGATCCACTCCCAGGTAATGAACAGTAAACTCATTTCTCTTCTTTATGATTTTCCTAATAATGTTTTCTTTTCTCTAGCTTACTTTATTGTAAGACTACAGTACATAATACATGTAACATATATAACACGTGTTAATCAACAGTTTGTTCTTGGCGAGGCTTCCAGGCTACAGTAAGCTATCAGTAGTTAAGGTTTTGGGGAGTCAAAAGATATAGGCAATTTCTGACTTCACACAGTGGGGGGTGGTCAGCACCCCTAACTCCTGCATTAAGGGTCAACTGCATTGTGTAAAACCTTAAAGTCCAATCCCTGTCATCAATTATTACCTTTATTCTCAAATCCATCCAAGGAATACTGTGCTTAGTTTATGATTACAAACATACTCTCGAAAAATTATACATAAGCCAAAGTTTTGTGAGTCAGATCACATTTTTGGAGGCATCAGGAGAGTTTGGTATGGGAAGGTGCATTAGTGAATATGTAATGGATTTTTCTAGGACAACAGCTTAGACAAGGTCAATCAAGGGTATCTGTATGCAGCAATGAAATGAAAAGGAAAAATCTTTGGATTCAGCCCTTACCAGCAAATTCATTGAAACCTTAGCTCCCAGATTTCTTTCCTTGGGGTGGTCTGAAATGTGGTCCCAAGCTACCAGCATGTCTTCAGCTCTTTAGTTCCCTCTACGTACTCTTTTGGGTCTGAAACCTCTGAAAGTGGCTCTTCCACTGCTCTTATGTATCATCCCTGCTGCAATTATCTGCTTTCCTCTCAACATGGCCTGACACCATCACCTTCAACTTGTGTCTGCTCCTAGTGCATTCTGCAGCCAGGGAAAAATGTCAACATGGGGCTGAAGGGGCAATGAGATACCCTCCATCCCTGGCCTTCAACTTCATGGTCATGTTCCAACAGTCTTTCTTAGTAGGGTTCTTTGAGTTCTTTTCCACTCCTGTTTCCTGAGGAGCATGGCAAAAGTCCAGGAGGGATGGGACAGGCAGACAAATTCAGGTACCCTGAACTATACTACATTTGAAATGAAAATGAAAGTGAAATACAGGTTCATAGCTGTTTATACAACCTCCCCTGGAGACAAATGTATTTTGGAATTCAGAATTTTATAGAATTTTAGAAAGGTAAACTGGTACATTTACCGTACATTATATAACAGCCCCAGCAGGATCTGGGGCAGCACACTATAATCAAACAAATATATCTGCCTCTAAACACATGAATATTCACATTAAGTAAGATAAATAACAACTATAAATAGCCTCACAGTTAAGGTCATGTGTTATCACCAAATCGGTTCATGGAAGGTTAGTCATTAAATGACTCAACTACAGAAGAATGTTTATCTTTCAGAGCTCTTTGGATTTTGGAATTATGCATAAGAGATAGTTGATCTGTATTGTGATTTATTAAGGAAGATGATCAAAGACCTATTTTGCTTTATTGCCTGGCTTCTTTGTGGAAGCTAAGTCTGCACAGAGACATAAATTAGAAAAATTTGTGTTGACCCTTCCCCACTTCTTATTGATCAGCTATTTTCTCCTCCCATGACCTCTGAACACCTTATTTGATATACTAGATCCCACAGTACGTCTTCCAAGCTCCTGTGCCTTGGTATGGTTGGTAATGCCTGGCCTAGATTCCTGTCCCCACAATTCACCAGGCCCCTAGCTTGTACCCCAGTATTCTGAGTATCTTTCTCAGCTTTAGGACCAGTGTGGTCCTCCGCCAGGAGTGAGGTCAAAAGCCCATGACCCCAGCACTGAGCCACTGTTGGTTTCACTGTTGATTCTGCTCTTGTCTTAATCCCAGGAAATCTTGCCTGGTGACATAGCTCCTACCAGGTATGTCACACCATCAGCTTGGCTTTCATCTTGTTCCTCATACCTTGAGCCTTGGCTGGGATACCTTACCTTGGTACCCCAGGCCTGAGATTCTACTTTGTCCCTCAATCACCTTAGAAACTGGACCCTTGTTCCTATGCTACAGGTCCTAGAGCAAGCCCAACTTTCACACTGCAAAAACTCTTTTGGTGACTGCTAAATTCTGTCTTCTCTTTGGTCCCAGTGTGGGCATCAGATTTTTAGAGACATTAAACATGTCTCTTCGCATTAAACATGCCAAGTTGTCAATATTTGCTCTAGGACAAAGGAGGTTCTCAGATAAATGTGACCCCTATGATAAGAAGGATTTATTATAACCAAGGGTCAAATGAAATGCCTTTTTATCACATCTTGCAAAGCCATACTGTATCATTTATTTGAACAAATCCTGTGTCATAATGTGCTAACAGCATAAAACTTCTAGTGCCAAGTAAATTCCAATCACTGTTCAAGACCTTTGCTAGATACGCAGTTTTTAGTGAAGAAATACTCACTGTGAAATGAAGTGGTTGAATTCTTCACACCATTTTTCTGGATGAAGTAAAGTAGGTGGAGGATTTCTGAAAAACAATAGCAATTTTTTTCTTAAAGAGAAGAATTTCATTAAAGGCAAAATACCAGCTTGTTTTTATTGATATCATTCTAAATAGCGCTAATAAAATCTGTTTTCATATGGGAGTCATGTTTTAGTGGTAGATTATAAAGTGCCAACCCCTATTACTGTAGTCATTCATTTTCATTGACTGAAGACCTACTATGTCCCTGGATTTCTCAGGACCTGTGAGAGCTACACAGATCAGGAACATTCTTCCAGAAGCAGCTGCTGTAACGAGGGGTGACGCAAGCACACAAACTGCTATAACAGAGCTGAGGATTCCTAGTGCTATAAGAAAGCTATAAACATAGTGCTGGGGGCTTTAGTGAAATAGACTTTTAATTGTACAGGATTTTCAGATCATTATGGTACCATTTGAATTAATTATGTGATGCATTTAAAGTACACTCATAAATTCATCAGTCACATTTTTAACTGTTTCCTATGTATCATCTTCTGCAATAAGCACTAGAGAAAGTCAGCCAAAACAATGTCCCAGACTCCCTGAAGTTGCTGGGTAGGGAAGGAGACAGACGTATACCATACCTAATAATTACCTAATAATTGGAGGTCCAAGAGAATGAGAGAATGGCAGAAAGAACCTTAGGTAACCAGACCATGTACCGGTGAGTGGGCGAAAAAAGGAGGGGGATGGGGGAAGAGTCCTGAATTTGATCGAATACTCCAAAGAGATTTGATTTTAAAATGGAAGTGACTACATTACCTTTAATTGATGAGATTTTTTTTTCTAGCAATACATGGAAATAGGGGCTGTGGGCAATTCAAGTTCAGAAAATGAAGAAAGTAACAGTTCTGCACACCTGAATTATGACTATAAATTTTAAAGCCATCATATGTGGTCCTTGTTTTTACCTGGATTCTAACTGCTTCCTAAAGCCATGGATTGCTCAGATTCATTAGGCAGAGGAATGGAAAGCAGCAAGAATTACCAGAAATAAATATATATCAGGTAATGTGATCACAAGTTACCCCTCAATATCCATTATCTTCCCATTTCCTATGGTACAAGTTTTACTTCAGCATACTGCTGCCATAATAAAGATTGCAATTTCTTGAGCTCCTTACGGCTAGATGTGGTTATATTACTAAGTTCTAGTCAATGATATACATGTAGAATTATTGTATGGTATTTCCAGAAAGTCTCCTTCAAAAAGGGGAGACATGCCATTCTTTTCCTTCCTTCTTCTTGCTTTTTAGAGCATGGGTATGATGACTGGAGCTTGAGTAGCTATTATGAATGTCAGATGAACATGAAAATGAAAACTGTGAGTTGAGATAGAAGACTGGATTCATGATGACATTGTAAAGCTGCCAGACCAGCTCTAGTCTGCTTCCCTCTAATCTTCTTTAATAAGAGAGAGAGAGAGAGAGAGATAAACTTCCATCTTTTTTAAGCCACTGGTACATGCGGCTGAGTCTAATCCTCAGTCAGATAACCTTTCCAAGTATGTTCCTACCATATGATTAGAACATAGTTTGATAAGTGATATACTAGAAGCACAAGCACGATATGTGGGTGGTATAATTAAGGTGCAGCTTACTCACTCTGGGGAGTCCCAAAGGACTTTATAAAGAAGATAAACTTGAGCTGGCTCCTAAAAATTAGATGGGATTTTTCAAGACAGAGAAAGAGAGTGAAGCCATTTTAGGCTTAGAAAACAATCTGTACCAAGACACAGAGCTGTAAAAAAGCATAGTAAGTCCAAAACATGTGAGTAATTTTTTTTAGGGCTAGACTATATATGATCTTTTGAGTCTGAAGAGAGAGCAGGAGGGAAGGATAAGGTGAGAAGGAAGAATGATTAGAGGAAGATGATGTACCTGCTCTGTGTAAGAATTGAGTTACCCTTCATATCTTCTAATTCAAAAACCGGTAAATTATCTGTGTATTACTCAGAAAGAACAGCAGTTAAAGGTCGCCCTTCAGATGTTTTGCAGGTTACCTCTTTTTTCCTCCCCTTCTCCTGGATCAGAGACAACGTTGTCTCATTTACTCCATTCAACAGTATATGCCTTCATCTTTCCCTAGTACCATCACATAACTTCAGCTTCAATTCTAGTTTGGCTGAGCTGTTCTTACTGCCTGGGGCTGAGATTTTACATCCACATGCCTGGCCAGCTCACCTCTGTGGGCAGCCTCGGTGCTATATCTTTCAGTGAGCAGGTTATCCTAGATCATCTCTACAGCCCTTTCCAGGATTTTCACTTTCCTTGATCTTCTCAGTTTCCTGATCATTCTGTCTTCACTGAGGTCAGTCCCACAGAGAAGAGCTGCTTAAGCAATCTACTGTCTAATAGACTTAATTCACCCCCAAAGCAGTTCACCATGACTAAGTCATTCCTAGACAGACTGAACAGATTTGACTGAAACAACACTAGTAGGCCAACACTGGCCAGCCCAGCAGGGAAAGGGCATCTCTCTTCCACAAGTAGAGAGTGACCTGGCAAGGGTCCAAGGAGAAATGGATGGTGAATATCCACTTTAGTGTTGAGAACAATGTACCTTCCTGTTTTCAGTCTCTTTCTCAGCAGGAAATACGCACAAGAGTCACTGTTTAGTTGTTGGTCTGAGGAGAATGGCAGCAAACCGTCACTCACCCAGGTCACCACCAACCCTCTGTGGCTTCACATAAACGCCACACAAGGAAACATCTTTGAAGCCTGGCATCACAGAAAGTTGGTTAAGAGAAGCTCATTTGATCTTATAGATGTCCTGCCTTTCCTGGAGCTCATCCTACTTTGGTTCAGTAAAGCAAGATCTTATGAAAGATTATTATCTGTATATAATGAAAACCAAAAGAATTTGAAGGCTTTGCAGTACTTTGTTTGTACTGGCAATATAAATTCTAATTCTCTCACAACCCAGAAAGACCAGCAGTGTAGAGAAACCATGTAGGTTATTCTTTGTTTCATTTGTGAGTGCTTCTCCCTGTTGCACTCACTAGAATATTATTGATCCCAGAATCCTGTTCTTCTCCCCATTCTTTTCCCATTCCATACATTCACTGAGGGCTTACTATATGCTGACAGCTTCCTAATATGCCTTGATTTCTTGTCCACCTTTTGGCTGGTGCATCTGACTACTTAAGGTCAACATGTTCAAAACCAAACATCTTCCTTTCTTAAAGCTGCATTCGACCTGGTTGTTGGAGTCAGAAACCTGGATTCTACATTCTTTATTAACCCCAAATGCAATTAGCGAAGGCAGAATAATGGCTCCGTCAAAGATGTCCACATTCTAATCTTCAGAACCTATTAATATGCTACTTTACATGGCAAATATGCTACTTTATTGATGTAATTAAGGTAAAGGTCCTGGATATGGGCACGTTGTCTTGGATTATCTGGATGGGCCCAACTTAATCACATGAGTCTTTTAAAGTGGAAGAGGGAGGCAGAAAGAAAAAAGAAGAGGCAGGAGAGATTCAATGCATAAAAGGGACTTCACCTGTCATTGCTGCCTTTGAAGACAGAGGAAGTGGCCATGGGCCAAGGAATGCAGGCAACATCTGGAAGATGGAAATGGGCCTCAGCTGATACACAGCAAAGAAATGGGAACCTCAATTCTACAGATGCAAGGAAATGAATTCTGCTAATAACCTCAATGAGCCAGAAAATAAATTTTCCCTACACCTTAAGAAAGGAGTGCAGCCCTACTGACACCTTGACTTTAGCCCACTGAGACCCACGGCAGACTTCTAAGTTAAAGAACCACAGGATAATAACACTGTGTTGTTTTCAGCCTCTGAGTTCGTGGCGATTTGTTATGACAGTAATAAAAAACTAATATACCAATCAAATATCAAGTCTTCAGTTCTACTTCCTTAATCCCTCACTCTAAACCTGTCCCCTCTTTCATATCCTAGTGCAGTCAGTCACTCATCATCTCATACCCACATGACTCCTCCTTGTTTTTCTCCTTCCCTCTACCTCATATCCCTCTAATCGGTCTTATACCTGGTAGCTAGAATTTATAAATAACATACAAATATGACCTTGTTTCCTTGCTCAAAATTCTTCAGCAGATACACACTGCCAGAATGATAAAATCTTAACTCCTTTGCATGATATATACAAATGTCTTGCCTACCACCTACTTGTCTACCTGATTTCATGTCAAACCACTTGTTCACCAGATGCCATAGCACTGTGCTACACAGTACTGATAACTCCAAAACAGATCCTATTCTTTCATGCCTCAGGGCCTTTGCACATGATGTACCTTCAGTTTAGAATGCTCTCCATAATTTGTCCACCAGGCAGGCTCCTATTCATGTTTCACGTGTATCTACAGCGGCTAGCACAGGAGCATTCAGTAAATTTTTTGAAAGAATGCACACAAACATATACATGTTGTAGGTAGGCCAAGAAATGGAGATAGGATAAAATATGACTTTGTCTTCAAAGTAGCATAAAAATTATACAAATATGGAACAGTTCTTTCAGATATGAGCAAATTCCAACTAAATGATTCACAGCAAGCAGGTTTGAAGAGTGTTGATTTGGATTTGACAAAAGAAGCCTCGTTCCTCTACTACATTCTTCTTTCCTCTGCATCCCAAATGTCTCCAGGTCCTTGAATAAATATATAACCAAAATGAGCAAATAAACAATGATTTAAACCTCATTGTAGACATCAGCTGATGTCAGGACCATTATACACACAAACATGGTGGGCTAGAGATAGAAGATGAATACCAATAACCATCATATGTTGAGTGCTCACTACCATAAAGCTTCATGCCAAGTGCTTCACATGTTGGTCAACTAAACACTGCAACAATCCTATTAAATGGAAATTCTTCCAGTTTCACAAGGGAAGAAAATGCAATTTAAAAGAAGAAATTTTGTCAAAAACATTCAGCAAAAGTTGGAAGATCCATGTTTTAAATTCAGGTATTTCTGTCTCCAATGCCCATATACCTCATTGTTTTCTGTATTTTA